AGAAAATAATGATTAATCTTTAGGAAGTGGTAAAGGGAGGTTTTGGGGTGGTTTTTCAGAGAGGGTAACATCTGAGCTGGGTTTTGACAAGTAAATAGAAGTTTCACAGGCAAAGATGAGTACACTTGACAGAGAATAAATATAAAAGCACAGAGGCATGGAAAGCATGTCATGTACAGAAAATTCAAGAATATTATGTGAATTGACTGAGATCACATAGAAAATTCCAGGTTTTCTGATTCTTCATCAGAGGTTTATTCTGTTGCATTATATAGCTGTAAACTCTTGTATATATATTTGAAGTTACTTCACCTTTGTGTTACGTTACTTCACCTTTGTGTTACTTTATCCTTTATTTGCCCTCAAAAGGACTTCCAAGTGTAGGACCTCAGCCCATTACCAGTAAAAAAAACCATTCTAGCTTCTAAATTACTATTCTATTTCTCAAATAAGTTAATTTTTATAGGTACAATTAGCTAAGAGATGGTTAACTTAATAGCATAGTCAGATTTGAACCTAGATCTCTAAACTGAGACCCAGTACCAACTTAGGAAAAAAAAAAATAATTGCACAAGAAGCTCTGGTAGCATAGTGCCCTAAGGCACTGGAGTGCTAACCAGAGGGCTGGAGGTTCAAACCCACCAGCCACTCGTTGGAAGGAAGATGGGGCAATCTACTTTTGTAGTGATACTGCCTCAGAAACCCAAGGAGGGGTTGCTATAAGTAGGGTCTGACTCGATGGCACATAACAACAACAACATACTTAAAAATCAGGTACATATTAATAAGTGACCCAAAATCCACTGCTGTCAAGTTGATTCCAACTCATAGTGACCCTGTAGGATAGAGTAGAACTGCCCCCTCGGGCTTCCAAGGCTGTAAGTCTTTATGGAAGCAGACTGCCACAACTTTCTCCCACAAGAAACTGGTGGGTTCGAACCACTGACTTTTTGGTTAGCAGCTGAGCACTTTAACCACTGTGCCACCACACTACTTAAATAAGTGATGTGCTCATGTAATTATTCTAATACCTGCAAAGTATTATGCCTTAGATTAACTAAGGCTAGTTGAATTAATGAGAATGAAGATTCTATTCCTCCTCTATATAAATCTAGAGCTTCCTCTTTCCTCTTAAATCATCTTGAGTTCATAGTTATTAGACTATCTAATTTCCCATTACTGTCTTATATTCTAGAAATACCAAATCATTTTTAGCCTTATTTTCCTCATCTGTAAAATGAGAATTTCACCAATAACAGATAATACATGCTCAGTACTTAGCATAGTGCAACTTAATGTATAGTTGCTTATCAGATAATAGTTATTATGAGGTTGGAGTGATAGATGTAGGACCAAAGCATCAAGTCATTGATTGTTGTACTAAAGATTTTATCCGGTAGGCAATGGAAAGTCAATGACTGTTATGTTTTAAAATAATTTTATTGAGATATAGTTCACATGCCATATAATTCACTAATTTAAAGTGCACAACTTAACATTTTTAGTATATTCACAGAGTTGTACGACAATCACCACAATTAATTTTAGAACATTTTCATCACCCCAAAAAGAAACCCATCACCATTAGCAGTCACTCCCATTTCCACCCAACCCTACCCCCCTACCTCTAGGTAACAATTAATTTCTCTCTGCTTTTAAAAGCAGGTCAGAAATAAACAGATTTATGTTGTTTAAAAAAACAAACAAACAAAAAAAAAAAAACCATTGCCACTGAGTCAATTCCAACTCATAGCCACCAACCCCCAGTGGGTTTCCAAGTTGGTAAATCTTTTTTTTTTTTTTTTCAAGGTGGTAAATCTTTACGGAAGTAGCTTGCCTCATCTTTGTTCCACTGAGCATCTGGTGGGTTTGAACCATCATCCTTCAATAGATGGACTGACACAGTGACTGCAACAATGGGCTCAAGCAGAACAAGGATTGTGAGGATGGCACACTACTAGGAAGTGTTTTGTTCTGTTGTACATAGGGGTCATTATGTCGGAGCCAACTCCATGGCACTCAACAACAACAACAACAAATTGTAGAAGACCATTCAGATGGCCATATGGAAGATGTTTTAGACTATAGGCTGGGAAATCACTTTAAAGACTTTCTGTAACTGAGAGATAACAGAAAGAATACATAAAAAGGTCAATCCAGACTCTTTAGTTCCTACTTAAGAGGTTGAATTTTGGGAGTTCAGCACTTCTGGGGGCAATGGGCAGGGGTTGGGGGCAGTTTCAGAGAGAGGTTGGGGGTAGAAATAAAGATGCTTTATAGGAGATGATTGAAACCACAGGAGTAGATGAGGTTGCTTAGGAGGAGCGTGTAAAGTGAGAACAGAGCTAAAAATTGAATACCATCCTGAGGAATGACAACATTTAAGGAGCCAGTAGAACAGAGGCTTGCAAAGTATTTTGAGGGATGTACAGAATAGAGATCATGGAGACATTGTCACAGAAATTAAGAAGAAAGTTTCAATTAAAAGATAGTAATTGAGTAAATGCAGCAGAAAGGGCAGGTTAAGATGAAGGTTGATTTATTTCATCACATGTCCATTGGGTTTGGTGGGTTTGTTTATTGATATGCTTTCTTCTATTTAATTATTTTCTTAAGATAAAATGTCTGCCAAAGGCTATGCATATCTTTATGACTTGTTCAGTATTGCTTTCCAAAAACGATTGTATCAGTTTTCAGTACCTCCCTTAAGAAATTATTAAAATCTTATTGGCATGGTTTAGAACAGTTTAGTAGTTATTTCAAATCTATTTTAATTTGTATATATTTTTTTGCCAACTCGTGAACATAAATATTCAAGTGCTTGTTTATTTTTGCCTTTTTTTCACTCATTCATTCTACAGATATTTTATCGAGCATCTTGCTGCATCACTATTCCAGGAACTGTGGATCTAGCAGTGAATAAAACAGACAAAAATCCCCTACAGGAATGGCTGATTCAGCTGTATTAAAAGTATACTCTCTTAGGTATTACATTAATCAGGACTTTTCAAACTAGCATAAGCAATGTTGGGAGTATGTGTTTGGCCTTTGACTGCGGGAGGATAAGAAGAAGGTGCAGCCATGTGAAGGATGCACAAGGTGCATTTTTCTTGGGAAGCAATGAAAGACTTGGAGTAAGTGAATTAATAAAGCAGTTTTTGTAATACAAATACAAATGTGTTTATCATAGGATAGAATGCAAATTTTACATGAGTTTTCGAAGACAAAATAGTTTTCAAAGAAATTTCCAACACTTGCTCCTTTCTCCTGCCTCCTGTTAGTATTCAGTTCCCTGTATTTTGAGAGTTCTTCACTGGAGAAACTTAGAAGCATTAACAAGCTATTTAAAACCAACTCTTGGTTTATGATATGATATACCGGAGTAGGTAAATTCAAATGAGTTACCACTTTAGTTCCACAATTTGTCTTGAGTTTTAAAACCAATTTAAATTATTTTGCATTGTTATATCTTTCTGAGGAATTTTTGTTTTTTTCTACCTGTAAAATGAGGGGGATTAATTTACTATCCAAATCTAAAACACTTGTCTTCAAGCTCTAAAACTGTACTTTGTGTAAAACTGACGATAGCTTAAAATATAGCAGAAGCTCTGCTTCCTGTTAGAATATAAATAACAGAGTAATGTGTGACCAGGAATAAATAAGAAAGCACTGACTCCAAATGACATTGTTTTCTAAATTAGGTTTTTGATTTTAAGTGGACCAGCATCACAGTAAGGAATGATATACAAGAAAAGCTGCTTTAACTTCCCAGAACCTACACCTTGAGAAAAAAGAACTAAGTTTTGACAGTAGTGGATGAAAGCTCCTCTTAGTACACGTTTGCACCTGCATCTCCAATTTGCAAAAGATGATGCATATAATTTCAAAATAGCAGAATGCCACTTTGTTACAATATTAATATGTGGTTCAGTGCTCTATGCAGTGGAGCATGTTGCCTTGCAAATTTGGATCACTAACCATTTCTAAGTGTTACTATAGATAATCTACTCGATTTGAGCAACTCGTTGTTACTGAACTTGGAACCTCTCGTAGTTGCATCTGCTAGAATCAACGCGGTTTCTCCCCCGCCCCCACGCCCCTGTCTCTCTTGCGGAAGGAAGCTCACTTTCTACTGTTGACTACTGTACTCATTAGGCAGTTACTTTGATTTGAGGCGAAATTCCTAGCCCACTCCTGTCTTCCAGGATTTCCCTCCCGGTCCAGGGCTCCTTCACCGCACACATTGCATAATTCCCTTACGAGCAGGGTAAGAGATTAAGCACCAGACGCAGACCCAGATTATTTCCCTGTCCCGTTCTAAGCACACTTCCTGATGAAAACTTTTCTCATTTGTCTCACTCCTGCCATCCTGCAAAAAAATAGGTGAAATTCGATTTCCTGCCACAGCCTTTGACACTCCAGTAGCTTTGATGTCTGGGTAAAAATAGCTTAAATGTTTGCTTAAAAAATAATGGCCGCACAAGTTTATGGTCAGATTCGTCTCAAGTTCGAAGACATCGCTTCCTAACCATCGAAGAAGAATACACGCAAGGAGGAGAGAACTGCGAAGGAGAGAGAGCTGTAAGGAAGTGGGTGGCCTGGCCGCGGGGCCATCCACCCGGGGAGATTTGGGACAGCTAAGGCTGACCCGCTGCCGCTTCCGACTCGCCCCTTGGCGAGAGCAGGAACTCGCTTTCCCAGCAGGCCGAGCGCGGCCCTTGACGACCTGCAGCCTCGCGGTGCAGCGCGCGGCGCGCTCCGGGTCCTGTCACAGCTTGTCCTGCGGCCCCACCCCCGGCTCCCGGCTCCTACCCCGAGTCCCCTGAGTTCCAGTCCCAGCTTCCAGCTCCCCAGCCCCGCCTTCAGTCGCGCGCGCTCTCCCCGCCTGGTCCTTGCCCCCCCTTTTGCGGCCGCTACAGCCAATGAGGTTCGGGGCCGCGTGCGCAGATTCAAACGGCCGCTCTTGAGGGAGGCTGGGCGCGAGATTCGGCGTTGCGGACAAAACCCTGCTAGAGGCTGCGAGCTCCGCAGTGCTGCTCGCTGCGAGGAGGGGCGAGGGTCGGCGCTCGCTGCGGAGCCACGCCGGGACCGCTGCTAGGAGGCTGAAAGGCGGCGGGAGGGGCCGGCGGAGGACGAGAGAGCTCCTCCTGACATGTCAGGGGCATCCTTGACCTGACAGGGCCCGGCCGGGGCTAGGAGCGGGGCTGCGAGTCGGGGGCGGGGCGGGGTGTCGCGATCTGCTCCTTGGTGCCTCGGTCCTGCCCTGAAGGGACGTGCGTTCCGCGCTCGGTCGCTTCGGGAAGGGTGTGAGGAAAGTTAGCGGGAGGGTCGGGGAGAAGGAGCATTCGCCTGAGGCTGGAGGAGGCTGAACTGCGTCCCCGCCCTGCCCGCGCCTATGCGGTACTTGAAGGATGGCGAAGAGGTCGCGCAGGTGGGTGACATCCCCTTCGCCCAGGCCTGTCGGCGCCGTCTGGCTTAGATTCTCTTTCCTTTCGCTCCACCCTTCACCAGGCCCACTCTAGCCAGGGCAGAAGTTTTCCTTCCCGTTGCCCTCCGGCCACTTCGGCCCCTCTGTCCGGAGGCCGCCGCGGCGTGTAGAGAGTTGGGGACCACTGTGATTAAGACTCAGAAAGTGACTAACAGATGCCCAGGTTGCTCCTTTGAGTTGATTTCTCCCCACAGCGCACGTCTGGAATCCTAACTTCTCAGAGCCATTTCTTGGTGGGAGAGGGGTTCTTGCCAGGTAAGTCTTCTCGCTTTCAGGGATCCTGCTACGCAGATACAAGTGGTAGTGCCTGCCTGGATGACAGGAATTTGGGGCTCAGAGGGACTCTCTTTTATGACTGACTGCACCGGTTAACTAGGAACTCCATGCTAAACCTGGGCGGGGAATTCTCTCTCAACTTGAGGATTTTGAAAGGTATGGAAAATTCTCAGGTGCAGCTGAGGGGAAAGTACTATTCTGATGTTTTCTGTAATTACCATACCCATGCTCTCAGCTTCATGTATATTTTAAAATATTTACTACTGGGAGGATGTCACAGTGTTACAGTCAGTAGCTTCAGCTTAAAATGAAACAATGTGTTTGATTGACCTAATATTTTGAGTGCCCATGTTTGGCTCTGACTGTACTTAAGCGTTGTGCAGAGATAGGGCCCATGTGCTGGAGTGAATTTATGCATCTAATTTTTATTTATATAGCACTATAGTAGCTACTTCTAAATCGTATGGAATAATCATTTAAATGATTAGAACAAACAAACAAAAAAACAACCTAGGGTCTTTTTAAAATTTGCAGTATTATTATGGAAACCTGAAAACATGTTTGGCATAATTTCCTGATATTTTTATTTATCTAGATCCACTTCAAAGTCTAAATTAAGGATGTATTTCCCAAGCTGAAATTAACTACTTGGATTCATTTACTGAAGATTTTGTTAAAAATTCAAAATTGGAAGTCACTGCATATACATTTATTAAACACCTTGTATGCACAAAATAGTTTTGCAGAAATAAACTTAAATATAATTAATCCCTGTTTTGCTTATTATTTGTAACAACTACAATATAGCGTAGTGAGCTCTGGTCATGCTGTGGTTAAAGCATTAGGTTGCTAGCCAAAAGGTCTGCAGTTTGCACACCCCAGCTGCTCTTTGGGAAAAAGATGTAGCAGCATACTTCCATAAAGATTTAAAGCCTTGGAGACCCTATGGGGCAGTTCTACTCTTTCCTATAGGGTCACGCTATGAGTTAGAATCTACTTGATGGCAGTGGGTTTGGTTTTTTTCATTTTGACAGTAGAGGACAAACCCTTCAGGTGGAACAATGAATACACACACATACACACAAAACCCCCACTTATCTAGAGCAGAGTTTTCAATCTCAGCACTACTGATAATTTGGATGGATTGACTTTTTGTAGTGGGGAGCTGTTCTCTGCATTGTAGGATGCTGAAAAGCATCCCTGGCCTCTCTGCAGAAAATGCCAGTAACAAAAAATGTCTCCAGACATTGCCAACTGGTGCTTGAGGGGCAAAATCACCTCTGGTTTAGAACCATTGTTCTAGAACTTGTGGGCCCAATAAACCTCTTGATCTTCAGAAAAGATAGATTTTAAAAGATCCTGTAATTACAATTTACTGAAGTACTGGTTTAGACTTTTTCTTTTGAATTTGTAAATATAATTTCATAAATAAGATAACTTCACTAAGCAAGGTGACAAGTGAATATGTCAATTCAACGAAAGTTTATCTTCAGTATGTAGCATTATCTACTTATTAGTATTGATGTTAATTTTATGTGAAACCATTTCTTGGCTAATGCAATTACCAGTATTTAGTTAAAGTTATGATGAGATATAGATGTTTGGATATCAGAGCCCTCCTCTTCCCAATTTCTTTTCTTTCCATTTTATAATTGTGTATGTTATTTTCTGTTATGGACAATTCTGTGAGTTTTCAGATCTAAATATATATTGTGCTATTGATCTTAATTTTTTGTCAGGTATATAAATTAAAACAATGATTCGGGGAGTCATAAGTCTGCAGTAAAAACATGGTAGGATGAAGCTACACTATCTTATGGGAGTATGCAGTAAAGGATGTAATAAGAAATTATCTCAGAATAATTTCTCAGATTTCTTAGAGTGTTCATACTTGAATTTATTTCCTGCTCTAAATTGTATTTCTTGTATATGTAAATATGATTATTTCCCTTAAACCAAAAACCAAACCCACTGCCATCGAGTCGGATCTGACTCATAGTGACCCACCCCTCCTTGGGTTTCCGAGGCAGTAGCACTATGGAAGTAGATTGCCCAACCATTCTTCTGAGGAGTGGCTGGTGGGTTTGAACCACCAGCCTTCTGGTTAGCAGTCAAATGCCTTAGGCACTAAAATGAAATGTTTTAAAAGAGAATCAGTCTATTCATAGGGCAATGTCTAATCTTTTGCCTTTTAGCTAATAAGTATCTTAAAAATATCACAAACTTAGAACTGCTGTACAGAAAGTGAATTTGCTCTGTAAACTTTCACCCAAATCGCAATAAAAAAAATGCACAAACTTAAATTATAGTCACAAGAGAAAATAAGTAATTCAGCTACTTCATACTGTACTTTGAGATCTCCAGTATACAACCATTTAAAATTTAAGTTAAAAAAATAAACTTTGCTGCTTAAAAGTTTTGCATAAAGACTATGGCATAAATCCTGTAATACACTTTTTCTGTGTCAGCTGAAAAAAAGTAAGAGAATGTTACCTCATGTGTGAAACAGCTGAAGGATGTTGGCTCTTTTGATCAGTGTTTTTGATAGCTGTGCTATCACTAATCTAGATTTGCATAAAGGTTTATTATTCATTTTATTATTGTGACTTTAATTAGTTTTTTATCCCATTGGGGGTTTTCATGATATAATTTACAGACAATACTAAAATTGATATTGATCTATCATTAACATGTATTTGACTTTTAAGTATAGTTATGTACAAATAATTTTAGTTTTTAAAAGCCAGTTCTCCCCTTAAAAATAAAGTTTTAAAAGTATCATTTAGAAGTGACAAAGATAAAAGATAAATGCCAGTTTTGAATTGGAAGATGTTTTCCAGTGGGATGTGTATGTGTGGGAAGCAATTTTACTATGTTTCCAGGAAAGTGGTTGTTACAGGTGAGAGGATACCAAAATAAGAGACTGACTTTTGCAGTCAGCTTTATTATTATGTGGCAATATTGTTTTGGGAAAGGAATTAAATCCTGTACCCCAGTTTTTCATCTCTTAATTGGACTAGATGATCTGTAAGGTAACATCTAGCTTTAGTGTGTACCCTATTTTGAAGATCTTTTGTAATTTTATCTTTTTCATTTAAAAATGTATACACATCAGTAGAATCAAGACAAATATTCTCACATTACTTTTGTTTATAGATGACTAGGTAGGTCTATCTTCAGTATTTAAGTATTGCTATTTATAATGGTCAAAGGTTACGTGAAAAATTTGTCTTGCTGTAAGGATGCTGATTTGTAAAACCCAAATATTCATGTATGCAGTACATCATATTAACCACTGGGTGGCCTGATTTCACTTTACTGAATCAACCTGGTCAAAGTTCCTACCTTGATTGAAATTGAACTTAAAGAACAAAATGTACAGTTACCCTCTCCTCAATATACATTATAATAAAGGTGTATTTTTTGATGATGATAAAGGCCATTTATGGTTAAAAATATCAAGTTGAAGTGATTTTATTAGAGCCAATTTCATAAAACTGATATTTCTTTAATTTCAAACTAATAGTTCTTTTCCAAATAAAAATAAAATTGAAAAAATTCTCAAGTCCTTCCTTTGGCTACTTCATTTTCCTCTTTTCAGGTGATATAATTGGTGTTCTTTAAAATTAAACTTTTGCCAAATGTTTTATTTTAACAGTACTGAGTGAATATTTTGTGTATTATTTCACAGGCTAAGTCATTACTACCACATCATAATAATTTACACCCAATGTAAAGTTATTCTTAACCATTTTCCTGGACTATTGAGTTATAGTATTTTTTTCCTTTGCTTCATTTTGCTGTTTCATCATCACTCTAATCACTTTGTTCAGTCATAATCTAGAAAACTTTCTTTTTCAATTTTGGTTTTGTATTAGTTATAAAATAAATATTTTCTTTGACTTATAAAAGAAAACTAGCAGAATGATTCTGGAAACCAAGTCTTGGACTAGAGAGTCAATGACCAAATTCTTCCTTCTGTTTTTGTTTTGTGGCGGGAGAAATGGTTTCAACTATTTTGTTGCCTTATAGATTCTTGACGGTATATAAGAACAACAACATAGATTAGTCAATCTAGGCTAGCAATGGTTTGTTTATTTAACTACATAATAGGAAGCTGATTTTATTTAAATTACTACATATTACCAAGGTTGACTGCTATAATACAAAAATGCTAAATGATGATATAAAAAGCAAAAAAATAGAGTAGATCTGTTTTGATGGTGTCTAACCATTATTGAGGAGTGGGTCTTTTTCAAAGGGTAGAAGAAACTTTAGTGAGATTACTTGTGGGATTTTGTCCCTTCCCCTTTGTTCTTGGAAAATGAGTCTTCCTGTTGTAGCTATCGGTATTGGTAAGTTTCTAGGATCTTTTTTTCTGTCACATTTATTTAAAAGTTCTATCAACCTTTCAACAATCACTTAAATATATAGAAAAAACTTAATGTCAAAACTAAAAAGTAGACTCAGGAAAGTCCCAGTAGTAGAGAAATGATTCTAAGAATTCTACTTTAATGCTCCCTCACACTCACCTACTAAAAAACCCAGCTTCCTGAATATTGAAGGACCATGTAACTCTGTGACTAAAACTAATGACCATGAAAAATAGAGAACGAAACCTCATGTAAAAATAGAAATTTCTCTCAAAGAGAGTATGCGGTTAAAAA